CCTGGTTATAGAAAAACATCCTCGGTGAAATAATCTGAGCGACAGCTTTCCGAGCCAACCCACGACCCACATCTGCCTTAGACAGTTTACAAGCACTGCTTGACAACCTATGATTCCTGTCTGAAACCGCCAATGAAAAAACACCTTTGGGACGCCGCAGCAGCTCCACCTCTCCGAGCTTTGGCTTCAATTTGTTTAAAATGCGGGTTATAAACTACACACATTTTTTTTCTATTATTAGCCCAAGTTAAACCAGAGTTATACTTAAAATAAACTACCTTTTTAGACCATCAGAAAATTTGTGCAAACCGGGATTATGTGATCTGTGTGAGTGAGAGGAAATGAGCTCACAAACAAAAAATAAAACACAAAAACATGAGCTGCCTTTGCTGTTTGTGGAAATTTCACATATTCAGCCAATAAGGATGGTTCAGTAACGTTTTACTGCAGAGGAAGCTCCACGACAGCTGGTGTGAACTGTCACATGGAGTGGAGCTGCAGAGCAGTGAGACAGAAATCATGGCAAAAGTTTAGATATTGCAGCAATCTGTGACAGATTGTTACTTATACTTGTATACTTATACTTGTATACTTATACTTGTAGTTTAGTGAGGTTTTTTGTATAAAGGAGAAGAATGAATGACCAGCTGACAACTCAGCTGTTTAGTTGGAGGACGGGAAAAGGAGACCCGCAGCCGGAGTCTGACGCCAAAGTGAGGGTTTTAAAAAAGAAGCTTCCTCTTTGAAGAAGATGAGCTGGGTCATGAACTGAAAAATAAGTGTTTTTATCTTTTCAGCTTTGTTTTGGTTAGCAGTCTGCTTAGTGTCGTATGCTTCGGGAGGTGCGCTCATGACGTAGTGTGTTCTGCTGGAGAGAGACATTGTGAAGTCTGCCTCACTGAAATCATGCGCCGTACAATGGGCCACCTTTCAGGAGATCTCACAGTGTGACATGAGCAATCCTGTGCGACGGCCAAAAATCGCACACTGATCCAGGCTTCAGAGAGTGAATGTTTCAGACAATGGCAAATAAAGGAGAAAACTCTGGAAAATACCATCGTGGGAGGACAAGCCCCTACATGGGATCGACACATAATTGAAATGGTGAATATCAAGAAATCCTACCAATGGCTACAAATAGCTGGTCTTAAGCACAGCATAGAGGCACTCATTATAGCTGTACAGGAACATGCCCTGAAAACCAGAACAACAGAGGCCAAGATCCACCACACCAGACAAGACCCAATGTGTAGGCTATGCAAAGAGGCCCCTGAGACAATCCACACCACATAGCTGCAGGGTGTAAGATGCTGGCAGGGAAAGCATACATGGAAAGCCAAAACCAAGTGGCTGGCATTGTGTAAAGAAACATTTGTGCAGAGTATGGACTGGAAGCTCCAATGTCAAAGTGGGTAACACCCCCTAAGGTGCTTGAGTACAAGACAGCCAAGCTCCTGTGGGACTCCCAGATCCAAAATGGTGATGGCGAACCAACCGGACATTGTGTTGGTGGACAAACAACAGAGGACAGCTGTTGTGGTTTATGTAGCAATACAAAATGATGGCAACATCAGGAAAAAGGAACATGAAAAACTAGAAAAGTACCAGGGCCTCAAAGAAGAACTTGAGAAAGCCTGGAGAGCAAAGACATTGGTGGTTATCGGGGCACTCGGGGCAGTAAACCCCCAAAATGGAGAAGTAGCTAAAGCAGATCCCAGGAAAAACATCAGACATCTCATTCAAGAAAGGTGCAGTTCTAGGAACAGCTAAGATAATGTGCAGAACCCTCAAATTCCCAGGCCTCTGGTAGAGGACCCAAGCTTGGAAGGATGAGACCACCCATGGAGGGTGAAATGGGAATTTTTATTTTTAATATTACTTAATTCTTGAAACAGTGAACTTCATTCAGCTGTTTTTAAATTATGAACTAAGAAATGAACTAGTTAATTTTAAAATATATGAACTGAACTTTGAACTAGTTCATTTTTTAAACAAATTTTCCCAATACTGGATTTAACTATAACTAGCTTAGCTACCCCTTAAACTAGAATAATCCACATTGAAAACTTAAAATCCAACTCTGGTAAAACAGACAACACTGTCTATAACTAGCAAACTACATTTTGACTCTCATTAGGTGCAATTGGGTATCAGGCAGTATTTACCATCATCGGGCCTTGCACCAGATTACTGATGAAACTGGAATGTTGAAATGCCCACAAAAAGAATAAGCTATTATAGAAAATCTGCACCTTTGGCATTAATCGCATGATGCTGAGTGGACCAAAACAGCATCCTGTTCGATGGTTTCCAGTCAGGCTTTAGACAACACAACAGCCCTCAACACCACCATGTTCTATTCATGATGTGTGTCAGAAACCAACAGAAAAATCTGCAAATTTACCTCCAAATGTGTCACACTCCTGGCTGTCAGGGGACTTTTAATGAAGAGACAGTGTGAAAAATAGACCACAAGCTTTCTTTCGTGACACAAATAGGTGCTATATATGCTGTGAGTGACATAAGCCTTCAACGGAGACTGTTTTTGAAAGCTTTTGAATCCCTTGTTGGGCTTGACTTGATACTTCATGGGGCAAATTCTTCCGGAAAAACACACTCTCTTAATGGGCTTGAAAAGAAAATTGATGCAACATGGCCAAAAGCCTATTTAAAATTTTTCAAGAGAGTTCTCCCTTGTTTGCTATACATAGAAATATTTTGCATCACTACCTATTGAAAAAATAGGTACTGAGTTCTTAGTTCTTTCAAATATTCTTATTTAAAATGCTTATAACCTTCTAAGCTGACATTATATCGCAAATATATCATTATCATGATATCAGCATGCCACAATATGCATATCGCAAAGAACAGAAAAACTGTAATGAATGGTCAGCTCAAATGTTTGCTACACTTAATTCATTCTGTCAGTCAAACGGAAGCATGTTTTTTTAACAAATCAAATAGAGGTCTTCACCCATTTGACCAATTGGGTGAGTTCTCATAGGTTAGATGCCCACCCCGCGGTGGACGGCACTTAATTTGATGGTTAGCGATAGGGATGAGCCGGATACTCGTTTTAGACGAGTATCTGGTACGGATAAATCATTTTTGACGAGTATGAGCATGAAACGAGTAAAACTCATAACATCTGTAATCGTACTGAAGGAAAATCCTCATTGGGTAACTGACTGTCTTCATGCTCTGTGATTGGCCAGTCCAAATAGAGCGCCCGCCCTCCGCGTCCGGTCCATCAGCGCACTCACACAGACAGTAACGGATCTCTCTGTGCTTGCTTCAACTGTTGCTCACGTTTCTTCAGTACTCCCTAGGTTTTCTTCAGTTCACCTCTTTTTAAAGTTATTTAAAGTTACTTTTTTCGTAATGTACGTGGTATTTGACAAGAGAGCTGAAAACTGCTCGTGCTGTGCCAGTCACTCACTGCCTCGCTTGTTTTTTCCCCTCTCTCTCCTCTTCCTCACAATATCTTATTTTTTGCTCATTTTTAAATATATTTTAATCATTTTCTAAATTCTTTTTCTATTTTCACATGTTTTGTTTTTGTGAAGCGCCCCGTGGTTTTTATCTTGAGGCGCTATAGAATCTCTCTCTCTCTCTCTCTCTCTCTCTCTCTCTCTCTCTCTCTCTCTCTCTCTCTCTCTGCTCTCTCTCTCTCTCTCTCTCTCTCTCTCTCTCTCTCTCTCCTCTCTCTCTCTCTTCTCTCTCTCTCTCTCTCTCTCTCTCTCTCTCTCTCTCTCTCTCTCTCTCTCTCTCTCTCTCTCTCTCTCTCTCTCTCTCTCTCTCTCTCTCTCATCTCTCTCTCTCTCTCTCTCTCTCTCTCTCTCTCTCTCTCTCTCTCTCTCTCTCTCTCTCTCTCTCTCTCTCTCTCTCTCTCTCTCTCTCTCTCTCTCTCTCTCAAATAGTTTTCAAATAAACAATGCACATTGCAACTTCTGATCAGACTTAAATAACGTATTGGTTAACTACACCCATTTCCAGGTTAGGGCCACGCCCACTCCGAGTACAGATACGGATAGAGATAATTTAGATGGTTGAACAGATACAGATACTGATAGTGGTGTACTCGCTCATCCCTAGTTAGCAAACACCCGAGTTGGCTTTGTTCTGCTCTTTCTGCTTTTCCCAGGATCCACTGATTGTTTTTTTCTTGTTCATTTTCTTTTTTCCCTTTCCTCACATCTTTTGCTATTCTCATTTTTATGATTTTTTTTGTCATTTTTTGAGTTAAGTTTTATTTATCGCAAGTAATATCGTCAATGCAAAATTGTCGCATATCGCTGGTTTTTCTAATATCGTGTAGCCCTATAACTTTATGACACCCAACTTTTGTGTTTTATTGAGAATTTGAACATAATATTAAAAGTTACAAATAAGCATTAACCCCTTATATGTTGTAAAATATTTAGCACACCTAGCAACTAGGTTAATTGGTTTTGGTGCACATTAGGTGAAACAAAACCCTTTCTTTTGTATTCCTCCAGTCTAGCAGGCTGACAAAATAACAATAGAAAATAATTTGTCCCTTGACACTTTATACCTCCCACTTCCTGTGTCAGAAGAAGCCCCTCTTTTCATCCCACTCACAAAGCTTAACAGTCTTCAGAGTCCAGAACCTGGACTCCAGAGGCTGAATGATCAGAATGCTTCTGCAGTTTGAAAAGTTGTAAAGTCCAGGGTCCTCATTTATCCTTGTCTAAACTGTCCTATATTCCTTCCAACGAATGAAATTTAGAATGTGTGTAAATACAGTTAAATGATTTTTGAAACATGTGGTGGTCTCCTGTATGCATGTTCCTCCACAATCGTCGATGATAAATCCCACCTGCGCTTACCCGGGTACTTGTGTCCATACTCAGTCATTTACATACAGAAAAGCCCTCAATTAACCTATTTTGTCATGCTACATCCTAAGCACGTGAGCAGTTTTGTTTATGTTTTTCTTTCTGAGGGAAATAGATCAAATGGGACATAGTGCTGACCTTTTAGTGCTGAACATGTTGGCAACGTCCTCTTCCTCTTGCCCCGGGCTTTGGGAGGTTGAGATTTGATGTTGCCTTTTCAAACCTGCAAGAAGCACATGCACACAGCAAAAAAAGAAAAGAAAAGAAAAAAATGGTGAGATTCTGCATTGTAGTGATTCTCATTGAAGTTGTCTGAAAGCCCCAACCAAACTGATCTCAAACAATTTAAAGTTGAATGAAATTAATTGGGTGTGAAGCTCAATGAGGAACAATTAAAATGCAATTAAAATGGTGCGTGTGGAATGGGGAGGTCCATACACAGCCTCACTCCTCACCCTCTCCTGTCTGTAGTGAGATAAGTGGAGGGCCACAGTGAGGGGAAGGGAGGCAAAATGGGCCCAATAAAAACCCACAAGGGCCCAAACTGCTGTTATTCTGCTTCCCACTAATCAGACACACAAAAACACTAGCTCATTTAAAAATACATGGAGTATGTTTCCTGGCCTGTAGCACTCTGGCACAGAAACATAACAGCACAGAGTGATTCCTGAATCTTAGGGTTGGGCATCGTTTGATTTTGAACGATTCCGATTCTGATTCCAATTCCTTGTTTCGATTCCGGTTCCTACTGATTCCCGATTCCGATTCTTTAAAGACATGACATGCTTTACATGAGCTAGCTAACCACAGGTCCTACTTGATTAAAAAAAAATCTTAACTTCAATATGAATTTTAATTCTATGAACAACAACATCACCTTCATTTAGACAAAAACATGTTTTGGAGAAAAAAGAAAAAGACTTGCAGCACAACCAATGTGTTTGTTTCTGACCACAACCAAAGTCTGGAAGAAGCCTCTGGGATGAGAGGCTAAATGTCTCCAACACATCCAGAAACGTCCAGCTGTTTTCAGCTAAAACTCAGGATGATCATGTCCAGGATGACTGAGGCCCTGTCCACACGTAGCAGGGGATCTGCCAAAACGTAGATATTTTTCTACGTTTTGGCCTGTCATCCACACGAAAACTGAGTTTTTTCACATGAAAACGGATCTTTTTAAAAACTCCGGCCAAAGTGAAGATCTGCGTTTTCTCCGTTTTGGGTGTCTGCGTGTGGACAGACAAAACCGGAGTTTTAAGGTCCGCAACGTCACTTTCCGCGACAAAAAAAATGCTGACATCACGTGTGCGACCTGTGTTTACACTAGCCGGCATCATGGAAGCCCTCAGAGTTGCGCTCTGTCACTACCCGATCCATCAATCGTCCAAGCGCTTTCTGCTTGTTTGTTTTTGCAAGCGGAATTACTTCTCCTTGCAGAAGACCACAGACGAAGGACGAGGTTAAGAATGGGGGAAGTACTGCCGCCTACAGGTCTGGCATGTCCTTAACAACGTATTTATTCGGGTACGTGTGGACAGAGTTGTTTTTAAAACGCGGTGGTGTGGATGCAATTTTTGGAGGGGCGGATATTCGTTTAAAAAAAAAAACCCGGCTACGTGTGGACTAGGCCTAAAACTCAACAGAAATTGTTCAGAAAAGAAATTAAAATGTTCACAACTTTGTGTGTCATTTATTTTTATTATCTATTGTGGCAGAAGCTGGTGTGGTCCACCATAGAGACGCTTCTCTAGCATGATGATTTTAATTATTCTACAGGTCATTGTTCAGCCTTCTGACACACACACACACACACACACACACACACACACACACACACACACACACACACACACACACACACACACACACACACACAAAGTATTGGTGAGCGACTGCGTCTGACTGCTGACGCGCCGTGTGTGTTTTTATTTCTGCAGTGAGACAAACTCATCTCACACCATCCAGTTTGTTCTTTAAAGCTTCTATTAAATCCACCGTGTTGACGTATTTTAACAAGTTTCCTCTACGCTGCATTTTTGCCTGCAGGAATTAAAGTTTACACAACGGAGTCAAAGTTCGGCAGACGCGTTTGTTTATATTTGGTCGCTGCATACCGGGTGGGGAGAGGGGGGACTCTGTGCTGCTCACAGCTGGTGTGGTCAGCTCTGAAAAGCATTGATCACAATTTGCAGATCACGTTTATTTTTCCACCAAGATCGGCCGCAGATTCCTCTTCCGGTCGGCATTCTAGGAATTGAAATAAAAAACTTTGAACGATTCTGGGAAAAACGAACAGTTGGAACCGGTTCCAATCGATACTCGATGCTCATCCCTATATAATGTTGATTATTCTCATAGTTTTGGCAGATGGTGCTATCTGCTAAAAATTAAATGTTTTTAGAGTCCTTAAAGGGATTTTCCACTAGGGCTGTCGCGGTAACCGCAAAAAGAAAATATCGCGATATTAAGAAACCCACCGCGCTGCATGACGTGCAACCGCCATTACCGCACTTGATTGAATCTCGCGACAGCGCATGCTGAGAAGGATGGCTGCACTGGTGTCGAAGCGAAATGTTACTTCGCCCCTTTGGGAACATTTTGGCTTTCAGCCAAATGAAAAGGGGGAGCCAGAGAATTTAAATGAAGCAGTCTGTAAAATCTGCGGCAGAACGGTTCAGGTAAAACGAGGAAACACATCTAATTTAAGGGCTCACCTTGCGACCTACCACCCAGCTACCAAGGCGCGGCTTCCGCCGCCTACTGCCACACAGAGCTGCGGGGCAGCTCAAGCCGGTGCAAGCCGACAGCTTGGACTCAGCGAAGCCTTTTCTCGAGTCGGCAAGTACAGCAGAGACAGTGACAGACATAAACACCTGACAGGCTGTGTTACACGGTATCTGGTGGAGGAGATGGTGCCATTTTCTACTGTGGAGAAACCTGCATTCAAGTCGCTTCTCCAGAAATTTGACAAGCAATACGAGTTGCCAGGGAAAACCTACTTCTCTGAAGTTGCGGTGCCAAAAATGTACAACACAGTTAGAGCATCGGTTCAGAGTGAGCTCAAAAGTGTGGACTTTTTCTCTGCCACCACTGACATGTGGTCAAGTGTGAATATGACTCCTTACATGAGTCTAACTGCACATTACCTGACCACAGACTGGACTCTTAAATCACGCTGCCTCGAAACAGTGTTTATGCCCCAGAATCACACATCTGACAACATCGCAGATGCTCTACGCAGCGTGTTTGATGAGTGGTCCCTGGATGAGAAGAAGCTGGCGTGCATAACGACTGATAACGGGGCAAACATCGCCGCAGCAGTGAGAAAATTGAGCTGGACTTGGCTGAATTGCTTCGGACATAATTTACACCTGGCAGTGACAAACGCAATGACAAGTGTTAAAGATCGCACATCCCGAGCAATGGGTCTGTGCCACACCTTAGTGGGTGCATTCTCCCACAGCTGGGTGAAGAGGAGGGATCTGGCGAAAGCACAAGCGGAGCTCTGCCTCCCGCAGCACACGCTCATAATGGTAAACTAGTTTTCAGAAGTTATATTTATGATCTAATTGTATCCCACTGTAATTTAACTTACTAACACAGATAGGCCCAATAAGTCTGCTAAAAATATGAATACTGTGAATGGGATTTATTTTATTTGTTGCCCGAAATTCATAAAACATATATGCAGCTTTAAATAGCAGTTGGTGGCTTTATGTGATGCTTAAAAACATGTTTTGTTTAGAAACAAATACACTGAAACGAATAAATATTGTTATATATTGACTTTTAATTTTAAAAGAATAGGCAGATTTAATTTCAGTTTAAATAATAATATGCCATTACTCCATCCAACCAGGACTGTCCAACAAGATGGGGTTCCAAACAGAAAATGGTGGACCGGGTCTTGGAGCAAATCCCCGCTATTAAAAGGGTTCTGGATGATCGGCGGCATCAGCATCTCATCCCCACCTGGCAGGACATTGCAGTTTTAGAGTCAGTGAACGCAGCATTAAAGCCAGCGGCTGAATTTACGGATCTGCTGTCTGGCGAAAGCTATGTCACGGTTTCATCTATTAAACCTGTCCTGAAACTCCTCACTGAAGAGATTTTAAAACCATCAGACGAAGACACCACTCTGACCTCGGACATCAAGCAGAAGATGTGCGGTGTTCTCGAGGAGAAGTACAGACCAGCAGCTCTACAAAAAACGTTGGCACGGTCCTGCTTGCTGGACCCAAGATATCGAGGCAACAATTCTGATGATGATGCTGAGGAAAAGTCCGCGCTGATCGAGGAGATATTAAACATGGAAGATGGAGGGAGCGGTGCCAGTGCGTCAGCTGCAGCCCAGCCAGAGACCTTGGAGCAGGCAGTGCTGCCACCAGCAGCAAAGAAAAAAACGCTTGGAGACCTGCTGAAGCCACGAACAAGCGCGTCATCCGCAACCGTCCCCAAGAGAGTTAGAGCCGAGCTGGAACTCACTCGCTACCTGCAGGAGGAACCCATTGACCCCAATGAAAACCCTCTGACATGGTGGCGCAACAACCATGAGAGATTTCCATTGCTCTCCAAAGTTGCACGTAAGTACATGTGTATTTGCGCAACAAGCGCACCATCCGAGAGGGTTTTTAGTGTCGCTGGAAATGTTGTCACCCCTCTCAGATCCTCTCTCAAACCGCATAAAGTTAACATGCTGGTGTTCCTTGCGCGTAACAAGGACATGACCGAGTTATAAATCTCAGTTAAGCTTGTGTGTGAAAGTGAAATGACAGTGCCTAGGACATCTCATTTTGTATACTTTATTTTAAACCACAAAACAAAACGGGCACTTTTTTATTTCTGTTAGATGTTGCAGCCAAATTTGCACTTCAAAGTTAAACCTGAATGTTGTTTTTAAGTTAAGTCAGAGAATGCTGTTACTGCCCTTCGATCTGCACTCAATAAAGTGTTAAAAATGGCCATGTATTTTTCTCTTAACATTTTTAAATGTGTAAGCACAATGTTTTAAAGGAAATATTGCCATGAGTTTAGTACAGTAATCCCTCGCTACTTCGCGGTTCGTTCATCGCGGATTCGCTGCTTCGCGGATTTTTTCTTTGGATCATTTTTCAGGGGGAATTCGCAGATTCGCGGTATATTTCTATGCGAAATATCAAGAAATTCTTGGGTTTTTTTCATCAATTTCATCATAAAATGCACTTTTTGTAATAAAACTAAAAA